ATAATATTAAATGACATTTTATTAGAAACTGTAATAATACATATGCATAAATTATACAATAATTAAAGTTGCGATTACATAATGTATACATAAAAAAAATATGTATTAACAAAAAAATATTCATAAAATAGACGTGTAAATTTTATTGATGTATACAGTAATTGTAGCATGTATACATAAAACTTTATATTGTATACATAAGATTATTACCATCAATTATATGTATTACTATAATGAATACAAGAATGAGATTAATATGATACATATATAAAATTTTATTCATTAATTGTACATGTGATTTTGTTTATGTATACGGTAACTGCACTATGTATACATTAGTTCGTATTCATCGTATATTCAGTGATTTGTATTCACATAATAAACATGTATACTTTAATATAAATTGAGATTGGAATTCATTGGTATACATTGGTTTGTATTCATCAAAATCAACATTCTGATTTTTTACGAAGATCTAACGAGAATCTTTCTTACCTATGAAATTGAGAACAAAAATTTCAAAAAACTATTACCTGAATTTTCGCCAAAAAAAGTTATAAAAACTTTAGTTCCACAAATCAAGAAATTTCAAAATTAATGGGGCAAGAAATGCTACATAATTATATATTAAAAGAAATTATTGGAAGGATCAAAGATAAACATACAGTTATATCTGATTTGCATAGACAGAGTAAATTAAGGAGAATAGGAGAAAATTTAGAAGTGAAGCAAATATACATATGAAAAGGATTTTAGAAAGAAAACAAAAGAAGGTTGAATAACCTAAATTTTCGCAAAAACTTCAATTCTACAAATCAAGAAATTCACAATTAATTGGACAAGAATAAGATTATATATAAAGATGATTTTTAGAAGTATCCATGAAAAACATATTGTTATATCTGATTTTCATAAACAGATTGAATTAAGGAGAAGAATTGAAAATTAGGAAGAGAATCAAATATACGTATGAAAAGAATTCTGGAAAGAGAAAAAGGATACAAAAAAGAGAAGAACTCTATTTTAAAACTGTTGACAAAGTAATTAAAAAAAGAGATAAAATAGGGATAATAAAACAATAATTGTTTTTTCAAGAAAAAAAAAACAGCAATCAAACGTGTGTTTGAGAAAAATAAGGAGGACGAAAATAAATTTTTAAAAAGAAAAGAAAAATAACAATTCAATGCCAAATAAATAAAACAAAGTTTTTTTCTTGCTAAAAAATTAAAAGTGGGCTATTTATTGCTAATTTAGTCTATAGGGTGTCATGCTATGCCATTTTGTCATAGATGTTAGCCCTGCTCACTTTGTGCGACCCACCTGGAGAATATGGACCATCTGTTTGTAGAATGTGAGTACACTAGAAAGGTATGGAGTGCCATATTGAAATGATTGCACAAGGATGAATGTCCTGCTACCACATGGCCACAAATGGTTGAATGGGGAATTGCAAATGGGTAGGGGAAATCTCAGATAGCCCAGACGTTCAAAATAGTGTTTGCTGAAACGTGTAATGCTATTTGGCTTGAAAGAAATCAGAGGATATTTTAAGGAAAAAGGACAGATGTCGCGGTTATTATTCGAGAAGTGATTTACATGCGTTGTACTAGAGCGCCTCCAAAGCTTCATACATTAGTCCATACACAAATAGTGTGTAATATCTATGTGCAACTGGATAATGAGAGGGAAATCAGTTAGCAGACTACTTAGCAAACAAAGCAATAGATCAAGGAAATTGCAATTTTATAAAATTTGGGGGCATGGATATAAAAGGGAGAAAGATCATTAACAGTGATAAACTAAATTGCCCTTATGTAAGAATATCGCTACAAAGAAGATAGGGGATGGGAAGGCTGAAGCATAATTTTTCCACATATATTACAGAGAGCCTTCAAGGCAACAAATGGACTCGAAAGTAAGGAGAATAAGGGAGCAGCATAGGAGCGCATGAACCTGGAAGACAAATTAAACACTGATCTGAGTAGGTGGACTGGAGATACAAAGCATCCCAGCCAAGCACTACCTGCAACAGAACAAATATGAAGGAAAGGGAATGAGACTAAGAAGACAAGATAAAGAGGAAAGTAGGGAGGTTTAAACACCAACCTAGTGTCTAAGACGCCTTTTGATAGTCTTGACAGCTGAAGAATAAGCTCGACATCGTCAATATCGGCGGAGCTGAAGGTTCATCCAAGGCGGAGCATATCAGGAATAGGAAAGTTCAGTGGATGTGGATTAGGATACCCTAGTCTAATGGGAACGTGTTCATAGAGAAGGAACTGAGGGCTTGTTGTTGGAGATAAGAGGCTGCATTCACACAAAAAGGGAACCACTCATGTTAACATTGTAAACCAAGATAAGAAAGAGGAGAATGGACTCCTTACAGACAAGTTGGGCCAGCTATCTATTGGGCTCGCTTGATTTGAATTGATCTGATATTGGAATTGACAACTCACAAGATATACACATCTCACAAGATACACAGCTGTAGAAAGAATAATTGTATATATGGTAAAGAATAAAATCATCCAGAATTAGAGTAAATACATTGATTCTGTTTTACATTTCCTTTTCAGCAATTACATGTATAAATAGTGCTAGAAATCTGTACATTAATCATAAGGAAATACAGAAAATTTTCCATACATTTTGTCTTATATTCCTACATGGTATCAGAGCAGTAACATCATCTGCTAGCTCACATCTTTTTAACTCTTCGATTATTCTGTTCTTCATTCCTTTCAAAGATGCCAAACTCCACTTCTGAGAGCACTGAAGGTACTCCTAATACAAGTGTTCAACAAGACAATGGAATCACCATTGGCAATTCTCATCCATACTTTCTTCATCCATCTGATGCACCAGGAATGGTCCTGGTCAATACTCCTTTTGATGGCAAAGGTTATCCAGGATGGAGAAAGTCTATTCTTATCTCTCTTTCAGCAAAAAACAAGTTGGGTTTCATAGATGAAGCTTGTCCTGCTCCAACCTTGACTGATCCGACCTTTAAACTCTGGAGTCGCTGCAATGATATGGTAACATCTTGGCTTTTAAATTCTCTTTCTAAAGACATTGCTTCCAGTGTTCTTTATTCCAGAACAGCCAAAGATCTTTGGTCAGATCTTGAACATAGATTTGGCCAGCCCAATGGGGCAAAATTGTATCATCTGCAGAAAGAATTAGCAGATTTAATCCAAGGATCTACTGATATTGCTGGATACTTCACCAAGATGAAAAGGTTATGGGATGAGTTAGACACTCTAAACGCTAATATGCTTTGCACCTGTGAGTGTTCATGTGAAGGAAAAAAAGAAGATGATTCAATTCAAAGGAGATGAGAGGCTCATTCATTTCCTCATGGGACTGAATGATACCTATGCACCTGCCAGAAGCAATATTCTTATGATTAATCCATTACCCACTGTGAACCATGCATATTCTCTCTTGATGCAGGATGAAAATCAGAGAGAAAATCATCTATCTTCTCAGTTTCCTGGAGATAGCTCTTCCTTCATGGTAGGAAAATCAGCTATCTCAGAGAATCAACTCAACACTCAACAGAAAAGTGAATCTGGATCTGGATTCAACTATCAACAGAAGCCTGGAAATACTTATTTCAAAGGAAACATATCTTACAAAGGAAAGAAAAGCAACCAATTATGCAATTATTGTAAGATGACTAATCACACTATTGATAATTGTTACAGGCTAATAGGTTTCCCAGCAGATTTCAAGTTCACCAAATCCAAGAAATTTCAAGGAACTGTGAGAAGCAACTCTACAACTTCAATGGAAGAACCAGATGGGAATCAATCTATTCTTGCTTCTTCTAAGAATCCTAATGTTGCTCAACAACTCTCCCTAAATCAATTCACTCAGCTTGTTCATCTCTTAAAACATATTCAAGAAGGAAAACCTGTTGGATCAGAAGTCAATGTCAACTCGGCTGCTGGTATATTTTTGAACATTCGCCCTCTTGTTATTCAGTAGATAATTCAAATTCTAAATCTTGGATTATTGATTCAGGGGCCTCTGAACATGTGTGCTTTGATCATAACTCTTTCTTATCTCTCATTCCTTTACCTAAGCCTTTAATGGTAAGGTTACCTAATTCATTTAGCGTAAAAGTTACTCATGCAGGATCTATTTCTCTTTTGCCTGATTTTATACTCACAAATGTCCTTCATATCCCAAGTTTCATATATAATTTACTCTCAGTTCATAAACTATGTCTATCTTTCAAGTGTGTCATGATGTTCACATCTACCGGTTGTCTTTTGCAGGGCCCTTTCTTGAAGAGCCCTCAAGTTTTTGGTGAAGTCAAAGATGGACTATACATTTTAGAGCCTACTGGTACTCAACCTCTTGCTACAAATAATATAGTTTCATTTCCTAAGAGAGATAGTTCTCATTCTGTTTCAGATTCAGTAGTTTTGTTTCCTAAGAAATTTAATTCTCATTCTGTTCTAGCTTCAGTTTCTGTCCCTATTTAAGCTAAATCACAATTTGATGTAATGTTATGGCATGTAAGATTAGGGCATTTGCCTTTCAATGCAATGAAATATATCAGTTCAATTTCATTCTCTTCAAATTTTGAATGCACTTGCACTGTCTGCCCCTTAGCAAGACAGTCCAGACTACCATTTCCAATTAGTCATATCAAGAGTAAAGGAATTTTTGATCTTATTCACATTGATGTTTGGGGTCCCTATAAGGTTCCTACTTATAATGGTTATAAATACTTTCTCACAATTATAGACA